ATATATATATATATATATACTTACATACATACATGATTTTGGATAGATGGGGTTGCTGTATCACTGTAGATCAGAAATCAATCGTCTTTATACTCAAAGGATGTAGTTTAAACTTCAGAATAACCCTACAGTCATCCAGATTGATCATTGTTGAACGATGACTGTATTGCTGTCAGAGCAGAGCACAACAAAGGATTTAAAATCAACCAATAACTGTAGAGCATTTAATGGACAGGAGTGTGTGTACATGGTATTTCTCAGCAAAGGTCACAGTTGTGGAGTTTGTATTTGAGAGGTTTTACCCTGAGATCAAACTACACATCTTTGAGACTTGACAGATTCTGAAAAGCCGTGGCATGCACACGGACACACTGGTTTCAGCAGATTTTTATATGAAGAATGAAAGCCTGGGGATCACACGCCTAACTGCTCCTGATGAAGGATCACAGGCTACATGGTTTGTCGAACCATCTGAAACAGTGGTCTCCAAAGTCTGTCATCAAAGGCCGGTGTCCTGCATGTTTTAGGGGCTGCCCTGGTTCAACACAGCTGACCCTAAGGAGTACTTAATTAATAGGCCTCTTCAGTATGTCAGCAAGGTCTGTAGAGGCCTACTGAGCTCCTGGGAAACCCCTCCCACTGCGGGATACGTCACTGCAACCACTTCTTCCCACTGGAGTTTATACTGCAGGGGTAAAAATCAGATATCCGCTGTTATTTATTCACAAATCTGTCCCAGTTAAAGCTCCACAGCTTTCATCAGACAGATTCCTCCGTGCACACCGTCAGTTTCATCTCCATCAATGAGCTTTTTGCCATTTGACTATCTTTATAAATGTCTGCTTCTGGGTACAACAGTTGGATTCCGGAAGTGAGTAGCTGAAGCAGAATGCAGCGTCCGAATGGTTTTAGCATATTTAAAAAGAAAAAAATTGTGTAGGTCTTCTGGACGGGTTCTTCTCTAATGAAACGTTTCGTCTCTTCTCCAAGAGACTTCTTCAGTCTGAGAGTTTCCAGTAACAATAACCACTGGTATTCCGTGGTTATTCCGTATGTTGCGGGTGTTTCGGAGAAACTGTGACATTTATTTTCTAAACATGATGTCCCAGTRGCTTTCAAACCCCAAAACACATTACGGYAAAGGCTGGTTCACCCCAAAGATCCGGTKCCCCGGCACAAACAGAGCAATATTGTATATGCTGTTAAGTGCCAGGAGGACTGCGACCAGTTATACATCGGGGAAACAAAGCAGCCACTGTTCAAAAGAATGTCCCAACACAGACGAGCTACATCTAACGGCCAGAACTCTGCAGTTTTCACTCATTTACAGGCCAGCGGTCACTCTTTCAGAGATGAGGATGTTCTCATTCTTGATAGAGAGGAACTTTGGTTTGAGAGAGGAGTAAAAGAAGCCATTTTTGTGAAGAAAGACCGTCCATCATTAAACAGAGGTGGAGGCCTCCGTTTTCAGTTGTCCCCCTCCTACAGTGCGGCCATTGCCAGCATCACTCCACCCCCTGTTAACAATAAGTGTTAATTAGGTGTCAACGATAGCCATGTGATGTGAGTATCAGTCACMTGGAGGCAGKGCTTAAARGCCTGAATTTTGCCTGAAACTCTCAGACTGAAGAAGTCTCTTGGAGGAGAGACGAAACGTTTCATTAGAGAAGAACCCGTCAAGAGGACCTATACAATTTTTTTCTTTTTGATTTTTTACCTGGATTACTGAGATGCATCAGGACATTTTAGCATATTTAAACACACCCATGAACGTCTGACCAATCACACAGTAAGTTCTCATGCAGGGGGGATTTTGGCCGAAGAGTTGAAGCTGAGAACAAAATGACACAATTGTTGTCACGCAACTGTGACAGTAAGAGCCGGTGTTGTACGAAATTCATTTCCCCTGTTAAAATCTGTTCCCCCTGTGTTGGGAGGGCTGGACCAGTGATTGTCTCTAAGGTTAACCAATAGGGGAACAGATTTTCCCATGGGAACTGGATTTCGTACATCGGTTTCAGCAGTTTTTGTTACATTCATTAGATCCTGCAGGCTTTTTCATTCCTAGACAGATAAGTTATTTTGATTAAATGTGAAACAGGAACATGAACAATAAAGTGAATCTGTTCTGTTGCAGGAGTGTAATGGCCATCGGGTGTCGGCGTCAGTGCCTCGAGTTCTGGTGGGAAACAAGTGTGACCTTGTTGATCAAATACAGGTTGGTGTACGCAGACAACACGGTCTCACCTTTCCTTCATCATGACGTTCCCACCTGAGTGGCGCTGTTTTCTCCAGGTGCCTTCCAACATGGCGTTAAAGTTTGCCGATTCTCACAACATGCTCTTGTTCGAGACGTCGGCGAAAGACCCGAAGGAGAGCCAGAACGTGGATTCAATCTTCATGTCGTTGGCCTGCCGCCTGAAAGCCCAGAAGTCCCTGTTGTACAGAGACGTGGAGCGAGAGGACGGGAGGGTCCGACTCACGCAGGAAACCCAAACAAGAAGCAACTGTCCCTGTTGAGCGGAAGCAGCATAGGGAGGGACAAGGCAAGGGAAAGGAGAAGAGTGTACTTGTCGAGGATGAGAACATGGGGCGGAAACAGAGTTTTTTTAAAACAAGTTCAACTTTCTGGTTTAGGAAAAGAAGGGAGCAAGTTGAGGCTGATGCTAGGAGCAAAGGTGTTCCAGGAAGTGGGGGAGAGAAAATTAAAACATCACAAGCTGCGTTTCCATTGACCATGAAAGTGCGCAAAATAGAATTTTGAAAATAAATTTGCTCAATGGAAACACGTCAATTTCGAAAAACATTACGTTTTTCGACAAAATGTTTTTGCGCTAGGATGAGAACTGCAATGGAAACACTTTTTTCACATCACGGGAGTCACGTGATCAACAACCGGCTGTTTTCTACTGGTGAAAAAGACGACGACGAAGAAGATAACAGGAAGTGGAAGTAGTAACATCACAGAAGTTGTAAAAAAAAGTAGTAAACTCACAGAGTACAATTTCCCAAAAACACAGCATACGTAGCCGCTCCCAAGTAGGGACTTGTCTCTGGAAAGCCTCGATAAAAGACGCCGACGTCTCCTCTGATGATGAGCGCTAGTATCGTGGTAGCAACATGCTATGTGTTTACATCCATCGCCGCCATGTTTGTAATGACTTATCGTGAGAACAAACATATTCATGGTGACTTTAATAGCATTTCTTACTGAATGGAAACACCACAGTTGCGAAACTGTGTTTTTCGACATTAATAGAATATCGACAAAGTTTTGCGCACATTTGCAATGGAAACGCAGCTACTGTTCCAAGTAAAATTCAAAACAGAGATTGAAAGGTGACAAGATGCTGCCTTTTAGACCACAGTACAGAAAATCTTACACTTGTTTTTGCATAGACACATTTGGGGTAGTCAAGCCTCAGCTCACGATTTACTACAGACCATCATGTAATTGCCTATATTTGTGTGTATTTGTCTGTTTGTTAGTAAAATATCTCCTGAACAACTCGGAAACTCTCCAAAAGTAATGGATGTATTCAGCTGAGTTAACCTGATTAAAAATGATCACCCCAACCTAATTAGCTGACGTTACAGACACAAAGATGGCTATAATTACTGAGCTGCAACCAGGCGTATTATTAGCTGAGAGTCTTTCAACTTTGAGCACTAACAAACTGTGTAAGATCTTGTATTAAAACTTTGACACTCAAGGCAATGAGCCATTCCTTTTTTCAAGAAATGGTGCATTCTTTGTAGGTTTCTTTCTGGCTCTTGATCTTTTTAGTGTCATTTGAGCTGAAAGCTGGTTTTCTCAACTTTACTGCCTTAAAAGTCAGAAGCTGCCTCGTCCATTCTCGTCATTTGGATGAACCAAAGTAGCATGGAAGGGTAAAGGATTTAAATTACTCTATTCTGTTTGTTTGTATCTTTATAGCCAATGAAACTATTGGACTCATCCTTCAATCTATTGGTAAACAAGCCATTAAAAGTATTTGATATGTAAGTTAACTCTTCATGAAAAGGACATATTACTGAAAATCAATAACTCATGCATGAAATGCATAGGAAGGATGGTAGAATAGATCAAATGTGTGAGCTTCATGAATTCATGTAGAGGCCCTTTGACTAGGTTTCCAAAAATGAGCCATTTATAGGCGATCCAGCAGTATTTCACCTATTGATTAAAAGATCTAAGATCCTCTTACCTCCATGCAGGAGAAATGCTCTTTCTAAGAAGTAACGTCTCTTGTTGCGTCTGGATTGTCTCCATGTTTTCTCAGTAAAACACCTACAAATTCAGCCTTAAATGACTTTAATACTTTAATCTCTGGTGAATCTGTTTTTAAGGAAAACGGCTCGTGTCTGCGTCCAAATCATTGCCTCTAAGTTCCAAAAGAGCAGGAATGTTGACTGTGGCGTGACTTCCACCCAGTGAAAGGGAATATGTCCAGGAGTCATTAGTGATACGGGCTGCATGTAACAAAGCCATATTGATTATTTCCCATGCACAGGGAGACGAGATGCTTTTCAGGTGCAGGAACAGGCTGTACTGAAGTTAGTGTTGATAAACGCTGTGTATGAAGGCATCAGTCAGACATCCTGACAGTAAAATGTGTCGTCAGATACAGAGAGGGGTCACTCTTTCTACTGCATCACTGTAGCCTAACCTTGTAGAGCAACACTGTTATCACATCTATATTCACTGTTTGATACAGCTCAGTTACAGCTGCAGACTGTTTCATTCATATGTTCAGTTTATTGATTAAACACAGTTCACAGAGACAACAGTTCTTTGTGTTTTTGTGATTTTAAGGCACGCCAGTTAAAATTATTAGGATACTGTGGGGCATCTCAAGTGTAAAATAAAAAGTTAAAACCTGTCACTAATATATTTTCATTATTTAGCTCACTTTCTGGGTGTTAACATTTTCTACTAACATTTATATTATTTAGCTTTTTGTTCCTACATTTGGCTACGGTTTACTAAATTTTGAATGTGTTATGTTTAAATGTTAAATTCTAAATCTAAATGAAAAAAATGAATGTTTACGTTAAATGATAAAATTTACATGTAAGTATTTCAGTAAGGAATGCAGCCTTTTTTTGTTAGTGCTCGGCTCTTGTTATGACATCATCATTCTGTGACAAAAGCTAACCCTGGTAACACTGAGTAACGCTGCTGAAGATGGTTTTTAAAATCTAAATTCAAAATGTGTTCAGTGGAAACAATAAGGGTGGTAACTGTGAGCAGTTTGAAGTGCAGCTCGAACACCGGCTGCAACTGTAAGCTTGATGTCTTGTGCGTTAGCAGTGTTAGCAGCGTTAGCAACATTAGCTTTTTTAGGGGTTATGCTGCGTTCACACCGAACGCGATTTCAGCTTCAAAATCGCAGCCAACGCTTCAAGTTGGACTCGTGCACTTTGAGGTCAGACGCAGGTCAGCTCTTGAAGCGCTGCACGGCAACAACCGCCCCGCCCCTCCCTCCTCTGTCGGGCTCTGTTTAATGTCAGACGAGGAAGTGGCTTTGCTTTATTTACAGAGAGCAAGAGCATGTCAAGTTCATCAGATAATTAATTCATAATTAATTCACCAGATAATTCAGACATTCTGAGTTTCATCACCCAGGAGCTGTAGGAGAGGCTCGCAGCTCGCTTTCAGGACTATTTTTGTCCCGAGTCCAGTCTGATGAGTCGCTGCCACGCATTGGTGAGGATATCTCCTGTCAGGACACCGACTGTAGGCACTCGATTTCAGCTAAAGAGCTCCTCTCCATCTGTTTCAGGTTAGTGGACATCATTCAGTAAACTGTCCCGTCGGGAAATATGTCACTGCGTCACACAGTGGAGTCTCTCTGATTGGTTGACGCTGGAAATATGTCGCTACGTCACACAGTGGAGTCTCTCTGATTGGTTGATGCTGCGCGTCGAGCTGAAAAAGTTCAGATTTTCTAACTTCAGCGATTTGCGCCTCAGTGCGTCGAACGCTCAGATCGTTCAAATCGTTCAAATCGCGCTGCTCTAATCTCGCTTGAGGCGCCGCAGCACTTCCTGACGCTGATTGAAGTGCGTCCACCATAGACTTTGGCTGTGTCCAAAACGGCAGGACGGGTCCTCCGAAGGTCGAATTTGTCGGCCTCATACGTCACAGCGCCGCGACGAAGGACGTCCAAAACGGAAGACTCCTCCGATGCGTCCGACAAATACGTCCTTCTTTTTCCCCGAATCGAAGGACAGGTCTGATGGATCCTTCCCGGCCCAGCATATCCCATAATGCATTGCGGCCCGACCGGAGATTTTTTTATGCTAGTAATGGCGGACGAAGCGAGAGAAAAGAATACGTTTTAAATAAAAATATGGTGATTTAAAAATTAAAAAAAATTAGCGGTTGTAATTCTAATACTTTTATCATTTGTATGGACATGTTTTTAATTATTATTTTTTCGTCATAAAAACGCGAAATAAACATGAACCTACAGCGGGTCAATTAGTTCTTCAAATGATACTTTTAAGTTAATTTTATAGTTTTGTGATATTAATAATGCTAATGTATTGATATTTTTCTAGTTTTGATTTAAGTTTGCTTGTTTAGCGTCGTCACAGTTGCTAGGTGACAAGACGTACGCCGGGGTAAGGAGGGGAGGCTAGACAGTCCAAATTCACAGCCTCTTTTTTTCCGGTCTTCCCGGTCTACCAAGGACCCGGCCCTCCGAGACCGGGGAGTCTGGGTCCTCCGGAGGACCCGGCCTGTCGTTTTGGACACAGCCCTTGTATGTAAACCTGATGCTCCTGATGCTGAAATGGCGTTTGATGTGAACGCACCATTACTTTTGTCCCAGGATGATGACATCATAACAAGAGCTGAGCATCAACACCAAAATCCTTACGGAAACATTTAAATGTAAAGTTTAACATTTAACTTTCACATTTAGATTTACACGTTTAACATTTAAATTCAGCGTTTAGTAACAATTAGCCAAATGTGAGAACAGTGAGCTTATTAACGATAAAATCTTAGTGGAAATTAGGATTTTACTCCCAGAAAGAGCTAAATAATGAAAATGTGTTTGACTTTTTAACATTTTATTTATAGGATAAAGAACATAAAAAGTCTGCTTTTTTTGTTTTTGTTTTTTCGTAAACTGCTTTTTCCATTTTAGTATTCATAAAGTGGCATCTTACACTTGTTTCTCCTCTACTGTAGAACAGCTTGTTTTTGATCTTTTAATATTATTTTTTATGTTTTAGATGTTTGCTTTGAAAATAATGCCATGACATTTTTTATTTAATTTTATATTTTCTGTGTGTCAAATGTCTTTTATGAAATGAAGTGAAATTATGCAGAATACATGAACAGTAACAAGATGTGGTCTTGTTATGATCCAGATATTTGATGACTTGTTTTACGTGTTTGACAGAAATTAGCATCATTTTCTGTTGTAAATACTTTGGTCGCTTCTTCAAATAAACTCCAGAATGAAAGTGAAAACAGGAAACTGTGACATGGACAAAGCTTTATACAGTCACAGGAAAACATTCAGAGAGATTTTACTTAGGACAGAATAAAAACAATTTGTTATTTCCCACATTATAAAATTAGGTCAATCCAAACATAAAAAACATCGGACATTTTCCACCAGGTTTACAACATTTCAGGTTGGATTAGAACAGATTAAAAATTTGATAAAGATAATTTTAATTGTGT